AGCCCCCCGGCGCCGAGACCGCCGCTGCCCCTCTCCTGCGGCGGAAAGCGGGGCTGGGCCGTGCTCCGCGCTTGTGGGGAGACCCCCACAGTCACCCCCGGCACCCCTTCCTTCCCTGAAGGCCTGATTTATTCGGAGTCAAACTTTGTTCTGTGTTCCCTGGTGCCACGAGCTTCCCTCCTCTTCCCCTTCTCTTTGCGCAAGGCGCTCCATACCTACCTCCTCCGCAGCAGGGCCGGTCAAACTACCTTCTTCCCCACTGGATGTTTTGGCCTTTCTCATTTCCACTACAGCTTCAGCCGGCTTACGATGGCCTCGGGCTACGCCCTACACGGAGCAACTGCAACTGTTTTACAGCCGTACAAGAGCTTCCTGCTACCAAGAATGAGGATGCAATTCATAGATTCACAACACCTGCTCTTACTGAATGAACTTGAGGCTATAAAGTTGCTGAAGGTCGCTGCTGGTCCGGGAGGAAGGCGAGTGTGCTAAGTAAAATGCTGTTGTCAAAGCCGGAAAATTATTTTGTGACCTGATCTGTCGGGGGTGGGCAGGGAAGAACGTTCAAGATCGCCTCCCAACGAACTGACCGATATGCTGAGGAAAGACTATTATAACACAATGTTTAAATAAGCATTTAATTAGGATTCCATTAGTATTAATATTGCTTTCAATTCCAAAAAAGTTAATTTCCACTTCTTTGCAGATATTTCAAAGTACAATATTAACTTCATACAAAATGAGCAATTAAGCAAACACCATTATTTCACATTTTACATTCTTCAAAAAAATACAAATTCATATTTACTCTTTTTTGGGTTTTGGAGATGCTCTTCCTTTGGAAGTACTGTACCTGTAACTAACATCTTCACATTGCTCAATGTAAGCACGTTTGTTCCCATGTTTCATAGTTAAATAAATTCCTTTAATACCATACACACATTCTTGAAAAAATGGGGTTTGTTTTTTTCATCATCTCCAAGACCATTGCCCAGCTCCCCATACATGTCAAACAAAACAAAAGCAGTAAATAGACAACTTAAGTTTTCCCTAGACTTCCTGGTTTGACAATTATGCAGATGTCTATGCTGAAGAAAAAGTTCAGTAACTAACCAGGCTCAAGGTTAGCACATCCCTGCCCTCCTAGCTGACGCTAGTCTGTGTAAAATAAAACAGCAACTACAGCTCTCTCTCCAAAACAAGGGTCAGACAGATAGCTTCGGTTTAATAGGCAAGTGGAAGGACACAAAGCTACACAGCAAGAAATACCAGCTACTGTAACTATGGTACTGCAAAAACATACCCTTGATTTTGCTGAAAAAGATCATATGAAAAAAATTTCTTGTAAGAAAAAGTAGAAACTGCATTTATTTGAGAAAGTGTACACTGCATAATGAACCAAATTTTGGCCAGCTTGCACACCACTGAAAGCATGGTGTGGGATTTTTAAACTAGTTCTAAGAACACACACACTTAGACTATGTACACTACTACATAAATATCCAGTTTAATTTGCATTTCTCAGTGCAGACACAGAATCCAACTTCTAGAACATATGATATATATCAAGACAAGACGCAAAAAGGTTAAAAGTTCAGCCCTGTCCATGAGTATCAACTACAGGTAACATTTATAAAAACTTGATGTTGTTTCCAAAATATGTTCAGGAGGAAAAAGTATACCAATTAAAAACTATGCAATCAGAAATTTGTAGGGTTTACTAAAGACATGCCTTTTCTTTTTTTGCGCCTTACAGTCCAAATTGACTCTTAACAATTCTGCCCAGCTAGCTCTAAACGCATAGGACTTTTCATCCATAGATTTCGCAGCATTCACAAAGCCAAGTTTCCTTGTCCTGGTTTCACAGCTGAGGAAAGCGAGGCACAGAGGTTAAGTGATTCGCCCCACAGAGGTCCCACAGCTGCCAGCAGCAGAACAAAGGACACGACACCGAGGTCCCCCCGCTCTCCGTACTGGACCTGGCTGCCTCTCATTTCAGTTGCCAGCTGTGCATTTCTCCCCATCCCCACCCCCCATCAGAGAATAGCTTTTCATCTCCAATCAACTTCAAGGCCAATCGCGCCTTAACTAGTTTCCCCCAGCAGTTCTACAACCAACAGGCCAATCCTTAGTTCGCTCCCCGAGCCTTATTTAAAATTGGTGCAGGAAGAGTACTGTAAACAGTTCAACAATGTTGCTGCAGTTGCAAGAACAGTATCTGGGATGACTCTGCGGAGCGCCATCCCCCATGAAGTAAGGCAGATAACATGACATCAAAAACAATCTCGTGAAGACAAATTCTAAAGGTGCAATATGCCTGCTCAAGAACAGCTTGTCACTTCTGTTCACGCTTATGCGAAAGACCAGAGGGGAGGACAAGGTGAAAGGACATAAACCAAATGAACATCGGTGTTAAAAGGTACTGACTTCTATCAGAAGTGACAAGCAGCTCACCAGAAAGCATGAGAGAAAAGGCCGGCTAAAGCACAGTGCTCTCAGTGGAATATTTGCATAGATCGGACTTTTGCTAATGATGCATAATTTCTCTTGGGTACAGACAGGGTAGGGCAATATGTCACTGAGCTAGTTACTATTTATATATATTTATACATATTCAGTTAGACAAACACAGACAGACTGACCACATGGGACAATGATCTTTAGCTACAAGTATTGCACCAAGTTAAGTGCTTATCTTTGCACACCCCTGTTAACTTTTACTCAGAGCAAAAATAAACTTTGTGAAAGTATATACAAAAGAAATTGCAGCAATTGGGTTAAAGATAAAATAACCTAAAGTGCATTTTAGATACCAGTATGAGGTTCTGCAAACTAGTCTTTCTGGACACAGTCAGCATTACATGAAGTGCCCAATTCGTACTATGCTCTATATAATTCAGTACCAGCATTTAAACAGTGCTGATTTTCCATCCCTCTACCATATACAAGCATGAAAAGCAACTTCTCCAGCTCTCAGCTGCGTGCCAAGCCTGTATGCTTGGGTCACTCACTGCTTGGCCACTAAAGCTACTGATGTTGGTAATCAGATCCGTTTTACATGTTTTGGCTTCTGCACCCGGCCAGAAACTGTAAGTAACCAAATCAATCCTCACGAGCCATAAAACAGTAAATGCTTTAACATAGAATGACTTGGAGCAGTGCAGTTTCGCTCTCTGCCTGGTAATTAAAGGGATTCATGAAATGCAGATTTTTCAGAGGGAGGGTACACTGATCTCAGAGGCTCTGACGTATCAACAGAACATGCCCCTTCCTGGGAGTCCAATGTCTTACCCGATCTACAATGGTAGAAGCTCCACTCTTCATTAAAAATGTTATTGTCAATCTATTAAATGCTGGGGTACGGAGGAGAAGGATAGAAACCTCTCTGGCACTGAGGAATCTCGGAGCTTTACTGTGATTGCCCTTTTTTGCTAGCTGTTCACAGATCTCCTTCCATCCGAGCGTGTTAACGACGACCCCAGCAGTACAACGTTCAATTACACAGTGCCAGGGACGATGCAAGTGTCCACTGTGAGACATTATAATGAGATACATGCAGCATTGAACATTCTTGAAAACAGACCCATGATTAAACAAAAAAGCAAGGAAATTTCCCAAAGTGATTGGGTGGGATGCACGTTCCACGGCAGGGCAGCCTGCGCGCTCACACAGTCACGCTCTTCTTGCCTCCTTACAAGCTCTCACTAGTTTCACCCAAATCACAGCCTGTCCAATGTAAGTATAAGAGGCTAGGCGCAAACCCAATGCACCTAAAAGGATAAGCTTGGAACACGCTGCTTTTCCTACAACACACCAGTAGAAAACAGTAGCTATGAAGAGAAAACAGCAGAGGGGTTAACCTCCAACACACACTCAGGAAGGACTCACGCAACATCTCACTGCTGCCAATCACCTCATTTCCAAATGAGTTTCCAATTTCAAAGCCTTTGGTAGATTCTTTTACTCATCTCTATCACAAAGGGGTTTCTGAAGATGCTCTCAGGCCCAATCACAAGCTTGTTTTAGGTGGACTAATTCACTGACTAGCAAGAGTAAAATGCTTCCCTGAAGGATAGGAAAACTCAAAAGAGGTTGCCAAATCCCTCCATCGTCACGTTTCAGGCTAAATCTGCTACCCTTATCCCCACCAGAGAAAACCCCACAACTCCAGGGGAATCTACATGCTCCTGTATTAGCACACTCTCTCACATGCACACACATGCGCTCATGCACGCGTCTATGCGCCTCAAATGAGACCGCCACGCTGTGCCAAAGGAAAAGGCGCAAGTCCCTCAGAAGGGCCTGTGCCCCATGGGGAACCCCCGCGCAGCTCCAGACTCCCCTCACATTGCTCGAAGCACAATTTGACGCAAGACAACCGGCAGAAGACTCATTGCGCGGACAATCCTAGCCACACGGACTTGAGCCTGTTTCTTTGTGTTCAAAGCAGTTCTTGCTGCCATGCAACCCAACTGCATCACAAACCAATACTGAGAGAGGGAAGAAAAAAAAAAAGCACCAACATCTCACTGCTGTCCTGTAGGGATTACCATTACGGGAAGAAAACAAAATGCTTTGTTAATCCACATTTTATGGACGCAAACCTTATTGCTGCAGGACCCACATCCCTGCTGTGTTACATTGCACAGCACTGCAACGTGAGCCAACACCCACAGGGAGAAAATACCATCAGTACGTTTCCAGTCCAGTTGGTGCCCCTAAGCTCTTGTCACTGCAATTACCAAAACACAGTGCTTTGCCCTAGAAGGGACGTGACCCTTTCCAGGCACAAAGCATCCGTTACGCTGCCTCTCCTCCCTCTTATTCATCCTAATAGGACACAATTTTACCTTTCCACTTTTAACAACAGAAAGCAGTTGTCAGAGAGGTGAAAAGCCAGTTCCCTTCAGCCCATTTCTGTCCGTGTTGCGGCAGTGCACTTGCAAGGGAATAGAAAGTGAGATAGATTAAGCCACTGTCTCAGCTAAGACTGACAGTGGTGTTGGTAAGGCTACACAGAGCATGTCAGAAGAGGGTTAAAAAGCCTACCAATCATCAGGTAAATGGGGGAGGTCTGGCTGCACTCACAGGATTTTTTCCCCCCCAACAGACGCAGAGAGCAGCTTTGATCCGATACAAACAAGAGGAGGGAAAGATCTCTGTCCACTAGGAGTTTGCCTTCCTAAATTTAGTGGGCAGAAACGCTCCACATAAATTGGCTTACAGTCATTATCTTTGTATCTCACTATTGACAACACTGTAAACTGAATAAAGACTATTTA